CATTTCTCATCTTAACTCGTCGACAAGTACTATGCCTAGGTCTAATGTCCGGAATCACCCTCGTCGTCCTCCTCGCAATCGCCAACACCCTCGGCCGAGTCAGCTCAACCAGCGGTAAATCGCTATTAGACCGGCCGTTCAACTCACTCTTAACGGATCGTGACTATGCCGACGCGGACGTTAAAGCGGGGATGTACGGCTCCACAGACGGCTTTTCCGACGTCGAAGGGTCGTCGGAAAAGAGCTCTGGAGGGATGCGGGTGGGAATCGAGTCGCAGATCGATCCGTGCGGAGGGATCGGGTCAAGTCCGGGGAACGACAACTGCTTTGGATCATGTAAACGTCGGACCAAGTCGGGTCACTGCGTGAAAGAGCTGTTCAAGCTGTACGACGACGCCTACAAGTAAGTCTCTGTCTTTTTTTCTCTCTTTCCTTTTCTTTTCTCTCTTCTTTTTCCTTCCCTACTTTCTTTATAACAGACCGTGTTTTTCAGTGCTCACGAGCAAGCTCGTTGATTCGTATGCTCAGTAAGAGCTCAATTCCAGCTGTGACGGATACTTCCATCCGGCTCAAGTTGTAAATTCTTTGACATTCTCTCTCTTCTCCCCCATCTCCCCACTCTCCCCTCACCCCCGCCCTCTCTCCCCCTTCCCCCTCCCCCTTCCCCACGTCATCCCCATGTAACAGGCCCCTGTGGCCGGCGCGAGTGGACCTGCTGATTCGCAGCTACGTGTCGGACACGTTCTTCCTGCTGGAGATGCTCTTCGACAGCATCGAGCAGATGTGGCCACGTGGCATTGGTGACGTCATCCTGGTGCTGGACGAGGACAACCAGATCGTGGAGGACATCGTGCCCACGTGGATCAAGGTGAGTCAACGGGAGTGAACGGGTGTCAACAGGGGTTAATAATGCAGGTGACACGAACAAGTAACAGCGTTGCAGAGAGACATCATGGTTCCAATCACTACCCAGCCTATCTAGCAAGAGGAAATTTGTAACCAATGAGCTGAGATTCAGACGAGCAACAATGCGTGCTTAGAAGTAGTCTCTTTATTGGTCCCGGAGGCGGGGTAGGTGTGGCCGTTGTGTGAAAGCAAGAGTGAATGCAAGAAAATGTTCTCGATGGGCCCAAAAGAAATGTGGATTGGGCCCTGTAGAAGTGTGATTTGTGGTTAATCGTCAACACTTCGATGCCCGTTTGACATCATGGCTTGTTACAGAACCTTGCTGCTCCGCTTGCATATTTTCCCCTCGAATAAACACCAGGTATACTACGAGAAGAACTACTTGAAGCTTCCTGGAAAGATCCTCCAGCAGTGGAGCTACCTGTGGGCCGACAACTACACCACCGCGCCCTACATCGCCATCATTGATGATGACGTCATCTTCAACCTCAAGGTGTGCTCCTGTGTGGAACTGCGTAGAAGAGGCACATGCCCTCATCAATTTCATCCTCAGGGACGGTAATCTCTACGTGTTTCGCGGCTGGCAGAAGCAAACGAACCACAAGAACTATATGCCCCCAACCCAACACCCTCTCCCACCCTCTCCACCTTTCCCATCTTTCCCTCCCCACACCTCTCCATCCCCAAACTCCTCTTCAACCTGACATGCCAAGCCGTCGTTCATGGTGCTCCTACCCTTCGTCCTCCCTACCCATCCCTACCCATTCTTCACCATCACTACCCATCCCAACCCATATCTACCCATCCCCTACCCATCCCCACCCACTTAATTCAACACTCCGCTACTCCAGGTGACCCCAGGGCTGCTCTTCAATCTAACAGACGGCAAGCCGTACGTGATAGGCAGCCGGCAGAAGCAGATGAACCACTGGGTGCCGTCAACACACTACTTTGTGGGCAAGCCCTACTACTTCGCCAACTTCATTCTCCTTCCTACCCCTCGCCCTCCCCTCTGCTTCTCCATCCTCCCCCCACCTTCTACCCCTTGTCCTCCCCCTACCCAATGTTCCGCCACTCCAGGTGACCCCTGGGCTGCTCTTTAACTTGACGGACGGCAAGCCGTACGTGATCGGCAGCAGGCAGAAGCAGATGAACCACTGGGTGCCCTCAACCCATTACTTCGTGGGCAAGCACTACTACTTCGCCAACTTCATGGTGCAGCTGCCCTTTGTCTTCCCGCGTGACGTGCTGCCCAAGTTCCGCGACCACGTCACGCGCATACGTGATGGCAAGTTCGCCAGCTTTGACGACGCCTTCCTCAACTTTGCACGCCACGGGCCCAAGTTCGAAAGGTGGGTCGGGTTTTTAGGCACCTGGGAGGATCACAAGCATCGGAATGGAATCAAACCCTGTGCACGCCTGAGTCAGTCTTGCTGGTGTTCGCAAGCTGGGTCTGAGGCAAAGCAAGAGTCTGAGACGTGCTGCCCAAGTTCCGAGACCACGTCACACGCATCCGCGACAGAAAGTTTGCAAGCTTTGATGCGGCGTTTCTCAACTTTGCCAAGCACGGGCCGAAATTCGAGCGGTGGGTAGGGTTTTGATTTGAGGTACATGAGAGGCTCGCAAGAACCCACATGGAACCAAACCCTGTGCACACCGCCGGTCAGTCCTGCTGTATTTTGAAAGCTGGGTCTGGGACAAAGCAAGGTTCTGAGATGTGCTGCGCAAGTTCCGCGACCACACCACGCGCTTCCCCGACGACAAGTTTGCGAGCTTTGACGCTGCCTTCCTCAACTTTGCCAAGCACGGGCCCAAGTTTGAGAGGTGCGTTGGGTTTCGTTTGAGGCATTTGAGGGCTTTGGACATGGGCACGAGCCAGCATGTACGGGCCAGCAGGCATGGGCCAGCAGGCACGGGCCAGCAGGCACGGGAGCAGGCACGGGGCCACCATGTACGGGCCAGCAAGCACGAGCCAGCAGGCAGGGGTCATGTTTTTGAGTCGTGAGTGGCTTGAAGCTGCTGCTGAGGCTGGTTGTGCATGAGGCAGTATTCTTGTCGCTTTTTAGAATTCTCAAAAGTGCCTCCAATAAATTCATATCAAAGATGAGAGTTTCTGGACGTGGTGCAGGGAACCAGGGGTTTTCGTGCTGCAACTTCAGATGCCCGCTGCCTCACACAGCAGCATGGGCCGAAGCTTGGGAGAGGAGGGACTGGGTGGGTTTGCGGAGTTGCCGTAGTTGGTACTGAAAGCTCGGTTTGCTGCAGCTCGCTTTGCTGTAATGCAACGGCTGGATGGATTAGGCGGCTCGTGATCAGAACAAACCGCACTGCACATTTGTGAACACCTTCCTGACCGAAACGGTGTGCCCTGCCCGCGCTGATGCGCTTGCTGTGCTGATTGTGTTTCTTCCCGTTTCCCTCGTGCTGAACAGGACGCAGATCGCCCACACGACTCTGGGCAACTTCATGTGGGCCTTCACCCAGGACGAGGTGAGCAGAGAGGGACATGGGACCAGGTGGACAGGCGGGCATGTGAGATGTGCATCTCACATGGTGTGACGAGAGACTTCTGAGTCGACTCAAAAGTTACCTTGTTACAGGCATGTGAGATGTTTTCACATGGTGAGACGAGATACTGGAGTTCTGATGTGGTGACGTGGAATGCGCTTGGACTATGTCATATCATGTCATGCCATGCCATGCCATGCCATGCCATGCCATGCCATGCCATGCCATGCCATGCCATGCCATGCTATGCCATACCATAACATGCCATGCCATGCCATGCCATCCCTTGCCATACCATACCATAACATGCCATGCCATGCCATCCCTTGCCATACCATACCATAACATGCCATGCCATGCCATCCCTTGCCATACCATACCATAACATGCCATGCCATGCCATCCCTTGCCATACCATACCATACCATGCCATGCCATGCCATACCATACCATAACATGCCATGCCATGCCATCCCTTGCTATTGCCTGGCACCTTTTTCCTCTTCATCCGCACAAGCTGCACTCCGCTCGTACCTCCCTCACCTCCTTCAAACTCCTCATCTCCTCCCACTCCCCCCCACTCACAAGTCCATTGGGCACTGGAGTGAACCAACCACATGTCCATCCCACATGTGGGTGTGCACATACCCTACTCTGTTCACCATGCTTCCCTTGACTCCTCAACTCCTTACCTCCTCCCCTCCTCCCCCTCACTTGCAGGTGCACTGGGCACTAGAATGGACCAACCACGTGCCAATCCCGCGGGTGGGCGTGCACATGTCCTACTCACAGCCTTTCCGCACAGCCACCAACAACAGCGACACCGCCCCCCGCGTCGTCAAGATCTACGTGGCTCTAGCAGGGTACTACGCCCACGAGGCCCTATGCCACGCGTTTCCCAAGGGGGCCCTCGATCGGTGCGGCGATGTGTTGAAATACGAGCAGCGGCAGATCTGGCAGTATGTTATGGATTGGTATGACTGGCCGGCGATCAAGCACAAGAGGAGGAACGCGACGTTTGTGTATGATTTGTATAAGCGGGAGCTGGCGTGCATGTATGGGAAGGTGGTGGATGCACGCACTAACGAGTGGACGGATCATATTATAGGGAGGCGGAGGGAGCTGGTGAATGAGATGACGAGAGACTGTGCCACGCCTCACTCTAATTAAAGCTGTAGCGTTTCTGGCTACGTGCTAATGCCTTCACATTTATAAAAGCGTTTTGCTGTACCCGATAATCATTGAGGTGCTCGTGAAGTTAGCAAAAATGCGTTGCACTTGTACTGAGCTGCATTGACCTGTGGTGGGTCATGTACCGTAGTATCAATTATAACCAGGAAGGCACAAATACAAGCTTCCCTTCCCTTGTTTCTGGCAGATGAGAAGGAAGTGCAGGAAAGGTCGAGAAGAGAGAACGGGAAGTATGGCCACATTTGTAACTGTGTTTTCAGGAAGTACCGTACTTTGAAAACTTGCTTGTGATAGTAACTTGATTAATATAATATTTTACGGTAGTATGTTACGACATGGTAACTCTAATCAGTAGCGAAAGTGAGTCACATAGGCTGCCCTGCTCCCATTCACCACTAGCCCTTCCTTGACTGAACCTTCCTGCTCTGCTGCCCCGGCTTCTTCTTCTGTGCGACCCTAGCTTGCACCTGGTTCGCCTGAGCTGCAGCCTTCCCTTGCATTTTCTTCGTCCCCCCATTCTGCTGCAGCTGCTTCAACTGTGCAGCACTTTGCTTCTTACCTTTCTCCGCTGCAGTCTGCACCGTCGTCTTGGCTTCATTCGCTTTCCTCTTCACCCACGCCCAGAATCCTTCCCGGTTCTTCCTCTTCCTTGATTTGCTGCTAACCCCGTCCTGTCCACTCCCCACTGCGTTTCCTCCCCTCTTGCCCCCGCCTGTCCCAGACGTCCCTGAGGGGTCGGAAGGAGTGAGATTCGGTTCTGCAACAGTGCGAGTGGTAAAAGCAGTTCCTGATTTAGAGCCACCTCCCTTACTACCACTGCTGCCTGTCGGACTACTCTGAGCACCAACCAAGGAGGTTCCTGTGCCAGAACCAGTGCCGCTGTTCCCCCCTGAAGAATCACCTGAGGCATCACCAGAACCATCAGCTGAGGCATCGTTTGACGGATCACCGGCACCGTCACCTGCGCTACCACCTGCCGAATCACCTGCAGCATCACCTGAGGTATCACCCGAGGTAGCTCCTGCTGCTCCGCTCGCTGCAGCGCTTCCTGCTCCTGGCACAATCCCCGGGTTCACCTTCTTTCTCGCACTTCCCCCCTTTATAAGCTTCTTCGCTATCCCTCCAATGGCCTTGGCTGCGCCATTAGCTGCTTGGTTAACAGCACCCTGTGCGCTGCCAATCGCCTTGCTTACTGAACCCACACCAGGAATCACCTGAGGGGGAACCTGCTTGGGTGTGGGAGGTACAGGTGTAGTAGTGACTGTTCCTCCCGTTACAGTTCCACCCGTTCCAGTTCCCGTTACATCTCCAGATGATCCGTCCGAGGGCCCAGCTGTACCTCCTCCGCTGGTGTCATCTCCAGACGTGTCAGCTCCAGAAGAGGTCGTGTCATCTTGAGAAGAATCCGTACTGCTGTCACCCCCAGCCGAGCCACTGCAGTCCGTTTCATCGCTACCGTCGCTGCAATCCTGCACGCCGTTACACTGGAGCGTTTCAGCTATGCACTGTACCACATTGCCACACTTCCAGTACCCATCCGGACACTCGTACACCGCACAGAAATCCTGATCCTCATCAGAAGGGAACAACCCTCCACTCTCTCCTCCTCCCAACCCACCACCACCACCTCCTCCTCCTCCTCCTCCTCCTCCTCCTCCTCCTCCTCCTCCTCCTCCTCCTCCTCCTCCGCTCCCCGTTCCTCCGGAAACCGAGGGACAATCGGCCACGCCATCGCACACCATGCCTGAACCGCAGGTTTGGTCGTCGGGGCAGAGCACTTGGTTCGGATAGTTAGGGCAGGTGGCTTTGCTGGTGAAGTTGACACAGAAGCCCGGCCACTCGTCGGCGCCAAAGGGGCAGTCGGCTGAGCCGTCACACGCTGCCGCTGGGTCGATGCACCATAGCTTGTCCGATATGGTTGTGACTGGACAGGCGATCTGGTGGGAGGGAGGGGAGGGTGAGAGGGGAGAGCAGGAGGAAGGAGAGAATTGAGTGAGAAACGAGAGAGAAGAGAGAGGCAAGAGGTGCCGTCACACGCTGCAGGTGGCTTTGCTGTGGAAGTCCACACAGAAGCCCGGCCACTCGTCGGCGCCAAAGGGGTAGTCGGTTGAGCCGTCACACGCTGCCGCAGGGTCGATACACCATAGCTTGTCCGATATGGTTGTGACTGGACAGGCGATCTGGTGGGTGTGGGAGGAGAGCAGGAAGGAGATATTTGAGTGAGGGAAGGGAAAAGCGAGGGAGGCAAGATGTGGCATCACACGCTGCAGGCAGGCATGACGTACATTCACTGCATTCCTCTCCCTGCCATCACCGCAAGCATGACAAGCGGCAATCATTGCCATACACGCAACTCCTCACGAGACTGCAAGTGATAATTACCATGTCAGGCGGGCAGCCCTCCTCATATCCCCCGCACTCCCACGGCAGCTCGTCGCTCTCGTCGTTGCAATCCGCCAGTCCGTCGCACAACTGATCGCTGCTCACGCACTGGTCCCAGGATGCACAGTACCACTGGCGGAGGGGGAGACGCAAGGGGGAGAAGCGGGGGAGAACGGGAGGGGAGAGCGGAAGAGGAGGAAAGGTAAGGTCAGGGTAGGGGGAAAGGGGGTCGCACAACTGATCGCTGCTGACGCACTGGTCCCAGGGTGCACCGGCGGAGGGGGAGACGCGAGATGGGGGAGAGGGAGGGCAGGTGAGAGAAAGCAAGAGAAGAAGTCGCATGTATGGATGGCGATAATGAGGCGGCAGGGACAGCGATAATGAGACGGCAGGGACGGCGATGCTTAGACGGCAGGGACGGCGATAATGAGGCGGCAGGGACGGCGATAATGAGGCGGCGCAGAACAAATAATTATAAATTTGCAGAAAAACAAATTTGCAGGGACGGCGATAATGAGACGGCAGGGTTGACGCGAGACGGCTGCGGGTAACTCACCGAGCTGTCGTTCTGAGCGCACGAGACTGGGAGGTCCTGCTGCTTCAGCCACTGCAGTTGCGCACTCTGACGTAGCACGGGGAGGGGGGATGCGGGGTGTGGGGGCCCATGGGCGGAGAGGATTGTGAGGACATAGTACGCGCACGAGACTGGGAGGTCCTGCTGCTGCAGCCACTGGAGTTGCACGCCCTGCCATTGCACGGGGAGGGGGGATGCGGGGGAGACATGGGCGGAGAGAGGGAGTGTGAGGGCGCACGCGCACGAGACTGGGAGGTCCTGCTGCTGCAGCAACTGGAGTTGCACGCCCTGCCATTGACGATAAACTCGTAAGAGGGGCAGAAGGGGCAGGAGGGGCAGGAGGGGCAGGAGGTGCAGGAGAGGCAGGAGGGGCAGGAGAGGCAGGAGGGGCAGGAGAGGCAGGAGAGGCAGGAGAGGCAGGAGAGGCAGGAGAGGCAGGAGAGGTAGGAGAGGTAGGAGAGGCAGGAGAGGCAGGAGAGGCAGGAGAGGCAGGAGAGGCAGGAGAGGCAGGAGAGGCAGGAGAGGCAGGAGAGGCAGGAGAGGCAGGAGGGGTCACAAAAGGTCCTGCTGCTTCAGCCACTGGAGTTGCACGCCACGCCCTGCCATTGACGAGCAACTCGTTAGAGGGGCAGGAAGGGCAGGAGAGAGAGAAGAGCAACACTGGAGGGCACAAACGCGGCACGAGACTGGAAGGTCCTGCTGCTGCAGCCACTGCTGCTGCGCGCTCTGCCACGTCGAGAAACACGTTAGAGGGGAAGAGAGGAGCGTGGAGTGAGAGAGGTGGACGGAGAGAGGGGAGCCTGAGAATTCTTACAACGAGCGTTGACGGAGCGCACGAGGAAAATATGGAAGGGTAATTTCAGTCCCCCCACACTCCCCCCCACTTTCAATCACGAGCATACCTTAGCGAGAGACGGCAGCAGCAGCAAGAGAACGGCAACACAGAGAGCCCGACTCCGCGCCGCGGTATCGCCTCGCACCGCCGCAACTGCCGCAGGCGCCGGGCCGCATCGAGTCGCCGTCATCCCGCCCGTCCGAGACACAGATTTCAATCTCCGAGAATTCTCAAAGCCCGTCGGCGCGCTGCGGCGAAGCTGCTGCGTGGAGCGAGGACTGGCGGGGTCCAGGGGTCTCACTCTCTCGTGCTCCTCTCGCTCTCGCTCCGACTCCTATCGCTGCTTCGAGAATTAGCGACTGAAACAGCCTGCGAGGTCGTGCTATTTATTGATCGTATCGTCATCGGCATTCCTCACGCATCCTCGCAGCTCGTCGCCAGATCCTTCCGCAGGGCCCCTCACCGCCCACCACTGAGAGTCGAGAGAACTGCTCTTGTCGGGTTGAGAGGCGCACTTCTGGCGGCGCCGCGGGCCACTGGCAAGCAATGCGGAGGGTACAGTATATGGGGCGAGATGCCCCTCAGGTGTAAGATCAGGGGCATTCCTTGCTCCCAGTGGCAAGTGACGGACATCGCCGCTCAATCCGGTCCGATGCATTTCTCGCTTGCTGGCGTGTTCTCACGCAATCTTGCCCCTCGCGCCTATTCTTTCCGCCTATTATCCCCCCCTCATCAGTCGCTCACTCGCTCCTCCTCAGTTGTTGTTGATACAGTCTTCCGCGTACGGTACGCGGCGCTCCACAGCTCGAAGCTCCCTGAACCGCACACTCTGATAAGAGCTTCGAGTCGCGAATAGTGACAGATTCTTGTTGTACGGTTGCACTGTTCGATAAGCATTAGAGGCTAGGAACGTTAGCCAGATACGTACAGTTCTTGCAGCTTTGGTTATGGGCATGCCGGGCAGGGACCCGAGCCTGGACAGGCACGGATTTCGGAGCAGCGAATCCCAAAGCAGAAAATGCGAAAATAAAAATGGTTGGTGGTGTGGAGAATGTGATTCGTGTGGGTTTGGTGTGTTTCAGTATAGTTTGGTATATGCTGGTGTGGACTGGTGACTGATGGTGGAAGTGCGGAAAGGAAAGGAGGTCTATGGGATATCTGTAGATACACGTATGGCTTCTACAACTCCTATCAACTCCTGACTCCTTGCTTGAGATTCACTCCAGGTACACTCTGTTGTTCCTTTCTGTTGCGCGCCTCGCGTCCCACAAAAATCTCAGAGGTTTCCAGGTGATTCACAGCTGAACGAATCGAAATTGTTGCCAAGCCACTGGTCCTGGCTCGACCGAACCACCGATCACCTCTTACATTCATTGTTTTTGGACACAGCACTGTACAGCGCCTTGATGAGTGGTTGTTGTGTTTGTGTGGTTGGTGGGCTGCGTTGACAGGACTTGCATAGTGTCGAGACGCAGAGAGATACTCAGGTGGCCTCTTCAGGTGGGTGCCACAGTTTGAACTCGCAAGAACTCAGAACTTGTCCGCGTTATATACACGAAGTGGTGGTGTGGTGGTCGCCCATCATTTAGAGAACCGTAGGCGCACATCACTATTTGCTGAATAGAATGATGAACCAATATAGAATGCTGAGGGATGCCCCATACTACCACATCCCTTACAAGTTACTCCGTCCTCTTGACTCATAGCATGTATTTTAACTAATGCAGTACCCTAGCATATGTTACAAGTTACAACCTGTTGTCAATCATTATGTTAACCTGACCCACACCATGCATGCTGCATGCACCATGAGTGCGACAATTCACGCTTCTTTGGACCCTTTCCGTTCCTTGTGAAATCACCAAACTTCTCTAGTCCAATCAACCTTTCCTTGACCTCTGGTGGTTCTTTGCCTTCTGCTTCTGTCCCCCTTTCTTCACATCCATCTTCTTTCCTTTCTTCTCCTTATTCTGCGTGTTCATCTTGCCCTTCCCACTCAGTACGACACCTGAGGCAGCACCTGAACCAGCAGCAACCTTCTGCTGCAGTTTCTTCACCTGAGCAGCACCCTGGATAGCCCCCTTAACCCCGGTAACAGGTTTCATTACCCCTCCTCTTGCCGACCCCCCACCACCTGACTTCCCCTTCCTCCCCAGCCCCACCCCTTCCTTACTTGCTGCATTCACCACATTCCTCAGCGCATCTAACCGTTTTCCTGCCTTAGATACCACCTCCCCCACCAAACCCCCCACCAGTGGAGCCTTCACAGTGCCACTGCTGCTGCTGCCTCCTGTTCCTCCAGTCGCACTGGGGGTTTTGGGAGTAGAGCTAGATTCAGGTGTGGTGTGTGCCGGGTCAGTACCAGCCCCACCTGCGTTTCCACCTTTAGAATCACCTGCAGCACCGCCTGCTCCGGTCCCAGCATTCCCACCCGATCCTGAACCTGCCTGCTTGGGTTTCTTCGCGTTGCGCTCTGTTATAAGCTTCTTCATTCCTGCTGTAACCTCTCCGATCTTCTTTGCTGCACCTTGGGCTGCATTGCTGACAGTGCTGCTCGCATCTCCAAGGGCCTTTCCAACTGACCCTGGGACAGGAGGGATGACAGGTAGTATCTTCTTAGGGTGGTCTTGAGATGGTGGCGCCTTGTCTGATCCTTTCCCTTGGCCTTTTCCTCCCGCTCCCCCTCCGCCCGCTCCCCCCCCCGTTCCCCCTTGTCCTCCCTCTCCAGCACCAACTGTATTCCCCCCTTCCGCTTCGTCCGCCGTACCACTCGAGTCAGTTTCATCTCCCCCCGTTCCGTCAGCAGCACCATCACCACCCTCAGTTTCATCTCCACCCGTTTCATCCCCCGTTCCCTCTTCCCCACCGTCCCCGCTGGTTTCATCTCCAGTTTCATCTCCCGACCCGTCTCCACTCGTTTCATCTCCAGATGTCCCGTCTGACGTCCCCCCTGTAGCCCCTCCACCAGTCGCATCTTTAGGAGGGGTCGTTACAACTGGAGGGGGATTCGTTACAACTGGAGGGGGAGTCGTTACACCTGGAGGGGGAGTCGTACTGCCACTGCCACCACTCCCGGACGAGACACTACAGCCCTTCTCATCGCTCCCGTCCTTGCAATCCGCCTTGCCGTTACACTTGAGCGTTTCATCTATGCACTGCACCTCGTTGGAACACTTCCAGTACCCCTCTGGACACCCGTACACCGAGCAGTAATCCTTATCCTCATCCGGAACGACCGTTCCTCCCCCTTCCGCTGCCACCGCAGCGCAGTTCGCCATGCCGTCGCATACCATACCTGACACGCAGGCTTGTTTCCCGGGGCAGAGCACTTGCTTCGGAGACAACGGGCAGTCGAAGGAACTTTTCAGGTCGAGACAGAAGCCCGGCCACTCGTCAGCGCCGTAGGGGCAGTCTTGATTGCCGTCACACGCTGTTGCGGGATCGAAGCACCAAGGCGCGTCGGCGATGGATGTGAGAGGACAGGGCATCTGGAAAAGGGAAGGAGGAAAGCGCAGGAATGGAGGGAGAGAAAAGAAAGAAAGGATATGAAAAGAAAGAAAGTGATATCTTCTCACATTGCGCAAATCTCCCATGCAGCCACTCTCAAACTCCCGCTCACTCAATCCCGCACCCCCAACCCCCCCTCTCCAACCCCTCCCTCCGTTCCCCATTCACCACCGGTTTCCCTCACCATCCCATCCGAGCAGCCGTCCTCACATCCCCTGCACTCCCACCGCATCTCGTGTTTTGAGTTTCAATAAACGTCTGCGAGCGGTACTTACCATCCCGTCAGTGCAGCCATCCTCGAACCCCCCGCATTCCCACGGAAGCTCGTCGCTCTCGTCGCCGCAATCCGCCGTGCCGTCGCACAGCTGGTCGCCGCTCACGCACTCGTCGCCCGACGCGCAGTACCACTGAGGGAGGGGGAAAAGGAAGGCGGGGAGGAAAGGGGGGACGCAGATACGGACAGTTGGTCTCCGCGCACAGTTAATGTCGAGCGCGCGAGAGGGAATGGAAGAGCAGAAGGGCGCACCAAGCTCTAGTTCGACTGCGCGAGATAGGGGAGAAGGCATGGAGGAGGAGAGGAAAGGAAGAGGAGCGGGGAGAGCGCACCATGTTTTGATCCGAGTCGCAAGTGACGGCGAGGGACAGCTGAACGAAGGACGAGAACAGTAGCAGTGCGAAGAGCGGCGCGGAAAGCGGACTATTGCTTCTACGAGCCATGGCGGCTCTCGAGGCGCCGCAAATGCCGACGCGATCTGGGATACGGAATGGACGTTGTCGTGCTCGGAATGATACGTCAGTGTGTAGGTAAAAGGATTGTAAAGAATTTCGAGTCGACTCAAGGGTCACCCTATATTTGCGACTCGACTAAGCTGTAATGCGGACCAATGAGGCTGAGCTGTGCTGGTGCGGGATTAAAACTACACAGTGAAAGTGGGTTATCTTCCTATTACCGTACTATCGAGAAAATAGTACTACGCCCCAAAATCGCATCGCGTGCGTTCAAAACGAGAGCTCAACAGGGAGAAAGGTACGGACAGAGGAAGGGGTTTCCTTCCAATCCCATTCCCATCCCACCTCTCCGGTTACCCATCCCGTCCGGTCCTTCCGAGGATCAGTGTGGTTCGAGGGGCTTGCACGGATAACTTGCTACTAGCGAGGATAAACAGCACAAACCAGATGAGCTTTTGTTGGCAGATGAGAAGTGGTGTGGTGGCGAGGCTGCTGCGGTAACGACGAGCGTTGCGCAATTTTGTTTGCCCCTGCCAGTTCACGTGCTTTGCCATGTCCGATTTGGCGGTTTGCATTTTGCCTGGGCCAGGTGGAGGTTGCTCACAAGGGACAACTAGATCAGAGAAAACACCTGACCGTGTTGCTGGCGACGGCTAGGATGGGTAAAACATGCAAACCAGCCAATGGCGTGCTGCCATACTGGTTTGTAAGTTCTGCTATGCACTCGCGACTCGAATGCAGAAATGACAGTTGTGCGACACGAAATGTACAGCTTTTGGGGTTTGGAATACTGTACTGTACACCCTGGCAGACAAGGCAGTTGCAGTGGATACACACATACCCAACATGCAAACCTGGGGTGCTCTGTCTCCGAACCGCAGGGCAGGTCGCCGTGACATTGGCGTTGTGAAGGAGGTCCAACTTTATCGAAACTTGAACACGCTTGCCAAGGTGCAATATGGCCTCTTACATCTAGAAATCTCCTACATCATATTAATTTCAATCGCCATATTAGCAATTTCAAGAGACTACTCTGCTTTGTGAGGAGATGCAGACGCCTTGATGGAATCTTGGGACTTGCCTCCTCCGCCCTTCTTGCGCATCTTGGCTTTGATGGTAAGCTTTGTGGCCACTGTGGCTACAGTATTTGTGAAATTACCAACTGCCATGACTATAAGGAGAATGCCACAGGCAAAAAGCTGTCAAGCAGAGAGAGCGGGAAGGGGGAGGGAGGAGAACGGGAGGCGGGGAAAAGGGCAAGTGATTCCGACACTTCGGTGAAAAAAGCATAGCTTTGCGGCAAAAAAGCCTGAAAGAAAAGAAGATAGCTACACACCAGGTAAGACACACCAACGTCTTAGATTCTGAATGTCATCTCCTTCCCCTCTTCCCAACACCTACCATGCGTGACCACATCCTTGCCCTCCCAGACCTTCCCCTTCACCCCCCCCCCCCCCTCAACCCTTCCAACCCGACGAACCCCTGTCCTTACCCATGCCACCCCATTTCCCTCCCCATCCCACCCGCCCCTTCCTGAATCAATATCCAGGAGTCATACCTGCCACTCAAACATCTCATAGAGTGATGTGCGAAGCAGCCTCACACCGATATAGAGCTGGAAGAACTGCAGAGGACGAATGTGAGATAGGTGAGAGGGATTACAATGCGGTAAGGTGTGGTTTGGTGACTGCACACAGTAGGCGCACGCCGATATAGAGCTGGAAGAATTGCAGAGGACGAATGAGAGACAGGTGGGAGGGTTTGTAATGCGGTAAGGTGTGATGCAGTAGCTGTACACAGCAGCCGCACGCAGCTGGAAGAACTGCAGAGCACGAATGCGAGTGATAGGGCAAGAGACAGGTGGGATAGAATGAGAAGGCAAAGCAACTTACCTGGAGAATGAAGAGCAGTGGGTAGAGCAGCACGAGCTGCCCCTTCATGCCTGCTGTCTCCCCCCACACCACATCCATCTGCCCTGCCTGTTGCCACGTGCCATGCATCCATGCACCATGCAGCCATACACCATGCAGCCATACACCATGCAGCCATACACCATGCAGCCATACACCATGCAGCCATACACCATACAGCCATACACCATGCAGCCATACACCATGCAGCCATACACCATGCAGCCATACACCATGCAGCCATACACCATGCAGCCATACACCATGCAGCCATACACCATACAGCCATACACCATGCAGCCATACACCATGCAGCCATACACCATGCAGCCATACACCATGCAGCCATACACCATGCAGCCATACACCATGCAGCCATACACCATGCAGCCATACACCATGCAGCCATACACCATGCAGCCATGAAATTAGCATCATGCACACATGAGAGTGAACAGACAGAGCAGCAAAATCTGACTCAATGGGGAAAGCAATGCATCAAGGAATCGGCGCACTTGTTCCCCAGCACTGTTCCCACATTCCCAAATCCTCACCTTGCCCATTCCTCACCTTGCCCCACCCAACTTCCCCTGAAACGCCCCACCCACGTTCCCCAGCACCTTGCCCCACCCACGTTCCCCAGCAGTGTCTTTTGAGGCGACTCAAAGCACACCTTACCCAGCACCTCCCCAACCACCTTCCCCACCACTGCTATTCACCTTGCCGAGTGCTATTCTGGTGTAGAGGCGGCGGCGCTGGTAGCGGTTCTGCAGCAGCATGGCAACGCCTTGGATGACAGCCCACATGAGGAAGAGCATTATGCCTTGCTGCTTGGAGGGGAGGGGTGGGAGGGGCGAGGGGGGAGTGGGGGATGGGAAAAGGGGGATGCGAGTGGTGAAAAACAGTGAGCTGATTTCTTCTTTAGCAGCATGGCAACCGCATGAGGAAGAGCATGATGCCTTGCTGCTCGTTGAGAAAGGGGAGGGGAGGAGGGGGAATGGGGAAATGCTCAGCCTCAGCTCTCAGTTCATTAAAAGACATTCTTCACTGTGGGGAAATGCTCAGCCTCAGCTCTCAGTTCCACACTCATACTATTCTACAACATCTCTCATGCTCACCAGTCAGCTTCACCTCTAAGCCTCCGGTCTCTGCCTCGCCTATCAGCCTCCTATCCTCGCACGTGTTTCATCGCACAGTCAGGCCCCTCAATGCCCCACGCAATGCTCACCCTTCCTTCATGCTCACCTTTCAACTTCACCTCTCAACACCACCTTTCAACCCCTCAGCAACGCATCTCACCCTCCTCGCACCTTTTTCATCGCACAGTCAGGCCTCTCTCAATGCCCCACGTGACCTTCAACCCTCATGCTCACCCTTCATGCTCACCCTTCATGCTCACCCTTCATGCTCACCTTTCAACCCCTCAGCACCGCATCTCATCCTCCTCGCACCTGTTTCATCGCACAGTCCGGTCCCTCAATGCCCCACGTGAGGCTCACGAGGGCCATGAGCATGGCGTAGTAGTGGTGGTAGATCCACCTGGGGGGAAAAGGGGGGAGGATGATGGGGAATGAGATGGGGATGGGATGGAGACGGTAAGGGGGGGATGTAATGAGGACCTGGCTCACTACGTAAGAGGCTCACGAGAGCCATGAGCATGGCGTAGTAGCGGTGGTAGATCCACCTAAGAGGGATGAGGGAAGGAGATGGGATGGGAGGGTGGAAGGGGACGGGACGGGGTTGGCAAGAGCTGGTGCATCACTCATCAACACTCACAAGTCCGGACCCTCACTGCCAAAGAGAGGGTGAGTGAGTGTTGGAAGAGACTCCATCATTCCCATAGGCGCATCCCCTTCCAGCAATCACCCTCAAATATTTCTGCAGACCTCCAAGTGAGCACAGCCTCCTTTTGTCACGAACTCAATGGCACGTGAAAAGAGCGCATTGGGAGTGTCCGCCGACAGCGCTGGCTGTATATTCTCCATGTATACGCACACTCCTTACACACATGCTTCCAGTCAACAGGAAATTTCCTACTGCTCTTTCCCCTTCCTTTCTCATCTTCCCCTCTACTCTCCCTCTACGCTTTTCCCCTCTCATTTTTTCTCTCCCCCTCCTCTCCCCTCTTCCCCTTTCCTATCCCTCTCCCTTCCCCCCTCAGCAGGGGCCGATGTCAATGCCACTGATGGAGTATGTTTTCCCGCAGACATTTGAAATGCCTTAAAAGACATGAGACGACTTTTGAGAAGCCTTAAAAAGCCATGTTCCTCTCCCCTCTCCTCCCCTCACCAGGGGCGGATGTCACTGCCATTGATGCGGAGAATGTTTTCCCGCAGAGCCAGGCTCGTGTAGAACAGCAGCAGCCACGCCTGGTAAGAGGGGGGTGTGTGAGAAGATGCGGGAAAAGGAGGATCGGGTACCGAGTTAAGATGCACTGTACGGTTTTCCCGCAGAGCCAGGCTCGTGTAAAGCAGCAGCAGCCATGCCTGGGGGAAAACGAAAGGGGGATGGGAAAACGGGGGTAGAGGGGAGGAAGGGGGAAGGGGGCACACTGTTCGCTTGCAAAATCAGTGATTCCCACTGCCAGCCTTGTGTAGAACAGCAGAAACTATGGGCAAGTTTGCGAGGGAGGAGGGAAAAGGGAGGAGGTGCAGGAAAGGGTGACTGCACTAGACTGCTTCGCGCCAGGCTGGAGTAGTAAAGCAGCAGCTCCACACTCAGTGCCCCACCCCCAGTGCCCCTCGCTCTCCTCCAGTGCCCCTCTCCCCCAGTCACCCCCCTCATTCCCTGTGGCCCCTTCCCCCAGTGTTGCGTCCCCAGCGCCCCAAGCACTGCCCCACCTGGTACACGTGCACCACGAGGCCTGGCAGGCAGCGCTGGTTCATGGCCTGCTTCGCTGCCAGTAGCAGCAGCGGTGCACCGAGAAAGATGAGCGCCGTGCGATCCTGCCCGGTGCAACGCAGGGGTAGAGCACGAAAGGAGGGAGAGCAGGAGAGAAGAGAGAGCAGGAGAGGGGGAGCAGGAGATGGATCAATGCAGAAGAGCGGGAAAAAAGAAGAGGTGGGAGAGCGGGGGCGA